TGGCTAGCCATGTATTTCCTTAAATATAATTTTTAAATGATAGGGAAAATTAAAAAGTAATCCAACACTTCAATAATGAAATATTACATTAGCAAATATTAATAATGTTGGGAAACACATTATTGCACAGATCTGCAGAAACAGGTGTTTTCACCATGTAGTTGGTTAGGATATACATTATTAACGTGATTTTAAATTTTAACTAGATAGTAAATATTGAAAATGTTAAATGATGATTTTTTTTTGCCAAAGTAGTCCACCTGTGGGTACTTATACTCCAGATACAGCCCTAGGATGCCATTCATGTGTCTTAATTGCTCAGGTTGAGTTCACCATTTCCCAAGCTTTTATATGGTGTTTGCTAAAGCAAGAGAATTTTTCTTTTTTTTGCCAAAGTGAAAATTCCCCCATTAGAAATTTATTGGCAGTTTCTGATTTGTAAATCCTCTAGCTAAATGTTAGTTGGGAGTTTATAATTGGTTAAGTCTTTTATTTTACTACGCTATGATGGTACATTCACTATGAGTTGGGTTTCAGTTTATTTACATAGGAATTGAGGGTATTAGAGCCATCTCAGTCTAATGGCCTCCCAATTAGTTAACAGTGTTAACATTTGCATGCCTGTGGGAAACAACCCTGGACCAAGAAACAATCCACCCAGAAGAATTAAATTCAGAACAGTACACTAGCCTGATTTGAAGGCCTCATAATTCATAGGACAACAATCGAGTCCTCACAAGGTTTTTCCTCATTAGCACTATACAATTAACCCTAATCTAAACACAACTCTGATTCTGACTTACAAAACTTAAAATCAAGAACCTAAAAATACAACATCCCCCCCCAAAAAAAAATCTAGATGGAGTTATGGCAGATTAGACATCACAGAAGAAAAAAAAATACAATCCTAAAGACACAGCAATAGAAACAATTCAAATAAAATAGAAAAAAATATTAAAAAGTAATAGCATTGATTATGATTGTGTGAAAATCATGTTGATAATTATTTTAAATGACTACTGGTTAAGCCCTCTATTTACATGACAGAAATTTTCAGAGTAGGGGAAAAAAGAGCAAAACAGATTCAAATATTTGAATGTTTTGGAGAAGTGGGAGCTTACTGCACATGCACACAAAGCACAAATACAAAATGAGGGAAAGACTTATTTCACTAAAAATATACAACATACTGTGGTCTAAGACAGTACCTACCTAAACTAGTATAACTCTAAGTCAGATAGAAGGTCTTTAAGCATGCCTCTGTAGGAGATAAACTAGCCATTGGCACATTAAAATGTCTATAGAGAATTCTGTAGTAATGAGGGCCTATGAAAAGTGCAGAATTGAGGAAAGGAGAGTGTCCAATAATAGCAGAGGATTGGACTAGGATCATGACATACAGTTTATTTATTTTTTTTAAATATATATTTTATTTTTAATTTAAAAATTTCTCTAATTATGTTTAATAATAATAGTCATATACTGGATACAATGTAATGTTTCAATCCATGTATAGGATAGATAATGAGAAAATCGAGGTAGTTGTCATATTCATCCCCTCAAACATCATTTCTTTGTGCTAGGAAGATTCAAGGCCTGAACAGTTTAGATGTTATTCTGAACAACTGAAGTAATTCTGAAGGACTTGGTTTCTGCATGTGCAGATGAAAAACAAGAAGCAAATAGATCACATGCTTTTTACCTCCTTTGGTTCCCCCAGAAGCTCTAGAAATGATTATTTCCATTTTATCAACAAATATAATTAACACTAAGTAATAATAGGTAAACACTAAATTTATATTACCAGCTAAAAGGTGCAGATATAATCTGAAATTCATTATTTTTGTTTTTGCTTTTCAAACAAGTTTTATAAAGTTTGACAGGGTCTTTGACTCTGATTGACATGATAGTTAGTTCCTTTAAAAATAAATTTTAAAACCAGTTAAACACTAAATAATAATTCCAAGAAAAATAGGTAAAAACAAAATTAATTGGCACTCATGTGATCTCAGGAAAAGATTATTAAATTTCCATAATATCTTCTGTTTTAAAACAACAAAAGCCACTTTAGAATGCATTACTTTACAATAGAAATACAATAAAATTCTTTCCATTTCTGCAGAAATTATTCTTTTTAATGTACATACAGTTGAAAATTTCTTCATATGAAATTCAGCTAGTTTATTTTTATGAAATCAAAAATGTTTTCCATCAGTTCCAAGGGCGCGAGTAAATTTTTAAACATGCTAATTGTAATTTTTCAAATAATGTCTGGGGGAAATTAAAAATAAAAATTAATTATTAAAAATTAATTAATTTTGATGATTAACTCATTTGGTGACATTATATTCTTAGAAAGTATCATGACTGATTATATATGAGATAGCAACTATATAAAATGCTGTATTTTCAAAAATTTTTAAATAAGATCAGTATGTTTATTATATGATATATGTGATGTCAGGAAAGGAGGCAGAACACACATGGGATCCTGTCCATTTAATTTATGTACTCTAGTCTTTTTCCTAATTCTGGAATATTTTTCAAGTTTCATAATATTTCTGTACTATTCTGTTAAGTAAATGTATCTATTTTATGTTCCTAAATTTATCAACAGGGTAGGAACTTGGGGAAATGTGATGGCATGTACAACTGCATTTTAGCTCCTGATTTTCAACCTTGAAAAAGAGGTAATTGAAAGTTAATCATTGATGAGTGGAGAGAGTTAAAACAGTAAACATTTTAAACTGAACATGTTTTCTTGGAAGGGGGTTTGAAAAGGGAAAAACTTCACAAAAGAGGCTCTGAGCCTGGCTTTATAATGACTAAATAGAGGATGAGTATAAAATAATGTACAATTGATGCCTTTAGATGATTGGGTTATGGTTTTGTTATATTCTTCCTACATGTTAAGCATAATTCAAAGATGTATAATGACCTAGTATTACACAAAGAATTATAAAATTATTACATTTTAAAATGTTATTCACAGAAACTTTACATATGTATAAAAAATAAGCCACCCACAAAGACACAAAAACGTTGTTACATATAATTACAGTTAAATTATAATTGTGAAATTTAATTAATAACTAAATTCATAAATGGGCAAATACATGTATTACCATCTTATTAAATTATCTACAGTATTATATACTGTACAAGAAACTTGAGGTTCAGGTGACTAAAACCAAATATTGTGAGAGGCCACTAGCCTACATAAAAATGATAATGCATATTTTTCTCAATAATTATAATTATTATACATTTATTATTAATAATTCATAATAATGCACAAATTTAATAGGCTATTTAGAAAAACTAAAAATGTAGATATGCATTGATTACTTAATGTAGTCCAACTTTATATTTTGGAAAAGTATATTCATTGTGGAATCAAGTTAGTTAATTCAGATCATAACATTGGTAAAATGGAGTACTTCCTACAAGTAGTTCTGTGTCTATGTTGTCAACCCTCAGATGCATGAATCCTTGAGGAATTGCCAAAACAATAATTCCTAATTTAGAGAGTGGCAAAAATGTGTTAGGAGTAGGAAGGGCACCCAAGTGTCAGAACTTTTTAATTTTCCTACGTAATTATGATGCAAGAAAAAGGTATATGAAAGTAAAGAATATGAACTTTTTGAAAGTTTGAATTTTGGGTTAGAAAACTCCTTTGCTGGGTTCCTTTGGAAATTAAATGTAATTCTTCCCAGATATGTATTATTACTTGCCTTTGGCCACTTAAGAAATCAATTAAGAACAGTATTCAGTGGGGTTTCTAATTCCATTATAGTTCATTAATCAAAATAATGAATAATTTAATAATCTGCTGTCAGCCACTGTATTTGGAACTGAACTCCAGGATATATAAGACAAAAATCAGTTTGGAGATGGGCATAAATTTATATTTAAAATCATAATGCTAAATATTTAACATAGGTCTTTAAGAGCTTGCAAGCAGTTTTATGTTTCAAGTGGATGGGATGGAGGGAGGGAGTGCTTCATCTTTAAGGAAAATGTGTTCCCCCAATGTTATTTACATGTCTGTATGGGCAGGCCTGCCATGAATCCTCTTTGAGAAAATTCACAGCAAGGATAGAAACACAGGTAAAAATAAAGGATTCAGGAGGTTTACAGTAACCGAATTGTGGGCACAATTTAGTAAGACACCTAGATGTATCTCCTGAGTTAGGCCTCAGTGCATTTATGACTGAGTTCTTTGAAGATGAGGGGCATAAAAAGAATCAAATGCTTGTTTTGTTAAGAACCACTGTAAGCCCAAGAACCAGGGGAACTTTACTCACCTGATTAAATATTAAAGTCTAAAGCTATGAAGGCATACATAGAGGTTAATGAGGAAATTTGGTTCACAAGGGCCTCCAGATAAATTGGTGGGCTTACCTTGAGGAATACAGTTATGTCATCAATAAAAACCAAAACAGGACTCAAGAAGGAAATGTATACCAATTACCCTGCAGTAATCAGAGGAGTAGGGCTGCCAATAACAGAGGAATGACATGGGGGAACCCACTAATTTTTACTGTATGGACTTATGTGCATGGGTGAAAACACTCTAATTCTCTTCAAGTACCTGATGTGTCCAGTTAAATATTAGGGAATCAGACAGGAGTCCACCAAACACACAGTTCCATACTTCACCTATTCCACTTGGCAGTCTTCAAGACAAACATTGTTCCCTGTTTCACAGAAGAGAAAGTATACTCTTTAACTGAATGTGTCTAATAAAGGGCAGTATTATTCTTTGAGTTTATTGATTGATTATTACATACCTGCACTGCATTCATAAACTCATTGATAAAATATTTTATTTGCCTTTCAAACTCCAGGTAATAAAGAGAAAAAAGAAAGTCATGTATCATCTTAGCCACATACCACACAGAAATGTGCCCATATAGCCCCATACCACACAGAATTTAATGTATTTTTAGTTAATATATTTATATGTGTGTGCATATATTTTAATGAGACAATAAATGTTTAGATTGCTTTTTAACTGCTTTATTAACTTTACATTTTTCCATGCAAATGGGTAAAACTCTACTGCTGACAGAAACTTAGGCTGGGTGCAAAGGCAATCTTCAGTCAGAAGCTGGCAACGCAAGACCCACTTGAGACATGGAAATAACATAAGGTTCACAGCAAACAGATCAGTAAAGGCTTATCAGGAAAATGCAAGGAAAAGGAAAACAGTGGGAATCACAGTATTAATCTCATGGAAAATGGCAGAAGTCAAGGCATAAGGCAAAATTCATCATGATGGTCATGGTGATTAGAGAGCTCCCCCATAAGAATACGCAGACAATTTCTCAATTGCAGCTCCCTAAGTTTTCTCCTGATTTCTCTCATCTCCTCCATGAACATTTCCATATCGTCTCCATCTCCACCCATCCCATCATTGATCTGCCTATTGGGTATGGCCCATCGAAAATTAGGGGCAAGTCGGCGGGCCTGTGCCCGTCTATTATTTCCTGCAGGCTGGTGGCCTTCACCTCCTCCCAAAGGGCGGTCTTCCTCTCCATTCTGCACGGGCTGCTCCATTTCTTCGTTTTCCTGATGGATATTTGCCATGATGAGATTTTTTTCTGGTTGTTTTTCTTTGAACACAAGTAAGACAAGGGCAAGGAGACAGACTGAATGCTTGGTGCATTGACAAGCAGGATTGTGAGTCAGATATGAAGGGTTTTAAAATTTCATATTTTTCCCACCTTAGAAACTCTACGCGTCCTCTAGGGGGCCTCCAATTTGAGCCCCTCCCTCCAGCTCTCTTCTCTTCCCTCCTCCCCCAAAGCCCACCATTTTTCCTTTCCCAGGATTCTTTCCCAGAGCTCAGCAGGAGCCAAAATGGAGGACAGAGATGAGGTGGAAGGCGGGGGTGGGGAGGAGGGCCCATTTAGGGTTGGGGGTCTCAGATTGCATTTTTGCACCGCCCCCCAAGCACTGCCCCTTGCACCGACCTGGGCCTATCCTTGCCTTCTTCCCCTCCTCCGGATTCGCGCCGCCGCGACACTGGGCCCCGCAGACCTGCAGAAATCGGAGGTTAGGGGGAGCTGAGACAGCTGCGGCAGAGCACTGGGCGCCGCCCCCGGCCCCTTCCCTGCGGCGCTCCG